CACACACACAAATGCACACACCCTACGGCCCAGTCAATATGTAACATGACCTTGAAGAATCACCGTTAATGGACTGACCTACTCTGAGAATGGGATGGAGAGAGAATGGGCTGGAGTTGGGGAGAATTTGTGGAGTAAAGGAGTTTCCCTGCTGCTCTGTGTTATATTAACACTGACTGACTGCACCAAGAATTTAGCTAGTAGCCAAGAATTTTGCTACCAACAAAGACAGTTGAGGTTTTTAGGATTTAAAACCTCTCAGCGTCACTGCAGATTACTGACAGATTGATGACTGAATTAGATAATGTGAGCTTAATCATGCACAATTATGACTGCAGTAGATAATGTGAGTTTAATCATCACCAATTAGGATCAAAGGCTGGTGGAGACACAGTGGAAGACAACTTCAAACTGTTTCCGAACTGTTCCATTGCAAAGCAACAGTCCCTGGAATATCCAGGCAGAACATCCACGCCCACACATAGACACACGCACAAACAATTTATCTTACTTGTAGAATATAGGAAGCCAATTCGAAGACAACATCACTGTCCACTTCAATAAGCTCCTGCAAGAAGAGAAAAGAGAAGAGAGGACAGGAGCCATGAAAGTCACATTCTCTTACTGCTGGCAGCTAGTAAATAAATAAAACACACAATGTGCTGATGTTGGGGGTAAGAGTGGACGTGCCTCCGATCATCATCCGTTTATCCAAGATGGGTTGATAGTTCCTTTCATCTCCCTACCACTCCCTCTCCATTTTTCCTCTCTCCCTTCTCTAATTTCATGACCTCTTCATGTGGATGCAGCTCAGAGATTAGAAGTGGCATAGTGAAGGGGGTTGGGAGAGGGGGTTTAGGGGTTGAGGGGAGGCATGGATTCCCTGGTTACTGATTAAATAGTACATATTCCAAAGGTGTTTTTCCATTCTATTACTTTTTTTTTTGTTTTAAGTTATTTAAGGACATGTGGACATTCCAGGGGAAAGGATAAGTAGTGAAAAACAGGAAAGAGGGAAGATGGAGAAGGAAGGAGGCAGAGCGACTCAAGCATGGGTTATTTCACATCTCTGTGTGAGAGAGATTTTGGGCTGCATTGAAATAGTTCGTTTACCTGCAAGATAATTAGTATAGGTTTGTATTTGTGCATGGGTTCACCAACCGTGTGTGTACACATACATGGGATGCTATGTACGCATTGAAGCCAGGGTAGATAATGTATTTATAATCCTGTATCCGTAGCAGTCACAGGCCTGTAGTAGGCACAGACATTAAAGATCATTGAATTTTGACTAAATGAAATCAGGGAGACCTTAATGGAGGGGGGGGGGAGTGTCAGTTGGACACCTTAAAAATCTAGCCATCTCTAGTCGGTTTCTCCAATGTTACCAACCCTGGCTTTGAGGGGGAGAAGGATAAGGGTTAGTGGGCAGTGAGTAGTGGGTCAAGTATGTCAGGAATGTTCCCTTTACAATCCACCTCTTAATTGGTTGGGAGATCAGACAGCCAGGATGAAACACTAGACAGAAGAAACCCACCCTGGTTGTACCACCCAGTGTGGCTACAAATTGTAATATACTGTGTGTTATTGTACCGTACGTGTTCCCACGGCACCACAGAACATTTTTCCCACTACTTACGCAAACATTGAAAGGTGAACATATATCCTGATCTACCATATTCTATCTACTATGTGTTTGCAATATGTTTTCTAAAAATACTATGAGATATTTAATTTCTTGCTCTCATTTTGCTTCTCTCCCTTCATAGGGTTGTCAGGGTCATCTACTGCTGGAGCTGGTAGGGAGATCGTTTGTCCTTAATACGGATGTTTAGCTGACGTTGTAATCAGCAGATAGGGATTAAGTGTCTCCTTCAAGGACATTTTAAAAGAAGCTACTGGTGGGACTGACTTTGTGAATAAATAATAATACATCTAAGTTTCTCTGTCTCTATTAGGCTTAAACTACACAACCTAAAGCCTCCAAAGTAAACTTGGGTTTGCTTTTCTATTTGACAACATAGCTAAGAAAGCGCCCATTAATTTCCTTTCTAAACAAGAAACCTTTGTATGAGGCACTATACTGAACATTCAACAAACTTTTGACCTATTCAAAACTTGTCTGACAAAGTTTATCAAGGCTGTCAGTAGAGAAAATAATGGATCTCATTACATTATCACAGTTTTCTACAGGGCTTTAACAGGGCCCTTTTTGCCCCACTATTTTCCTTTAGAACACATACGCCCTCTTCTGGACGTGACAAATAACTGCTTGACACTGATGTCTCTCCCAGTAGTGAGTAGGTAACCATAGGGTCACCAGCTCACTACCGGCAGAACGTGAACCAGTTGAAGGTCCAGTGAATAACATTGAGGAGAATCTATGGGCAAAAATGGAATATCATATGCATAACTATGTTTTCATTAGTGTATAATCACCTGAATACAGGAATCGTTGTCAATCGTTTATCATAATCTTTGGAAGGGGAGGGTGAAGTGAGGGAGTTGCTATCTGCAACTATACCACTAGACCACTAAATACTACATACTGGATCTTTAACTAGTTAAGACAGTGCCCCCTCACTCTAAAAAAAACATACAAATGGCTTTATCTGATGGGGATGTTTTAAGCCTATCACCAAATGTACAAAATTTGTCTTTTTTTTTGCCTTTGGATTTTTCTCTTTGGGCAAATTGCTGTTATGGTTTATTGAAAGGCATCATTTCAATTTCTATTTAAACAGATTAAATAAATGTGCTTCAACGCTGACAGATGGCAGTAAATGTGTCAAATTATTCGCTAGTTGCTGCAGCATGTAACATGATGGGTAACAGCTGATGCAAATGGCTCACATTTTATGCTTCACCAAATCAGTGTGGAGCACCGAAGTCCAAGCTGGTCTCTTGTAACATCTCTTCATTTAGAACCAAAAATGGGCTAATGAACTGGCATGTTTCTAACAACATTAAGCAACACACTTTGCATTCGCATAATTTTAACTTGAAATATACCCACTTAACATTTCCACCTTCCTCTAGCAAAAATATATTAAGTCCAGAAGAAAAGCTTGGTTGCATATACAAAGGTAATTCCTACCAACCACATCTGTAAAGCATTTCAGGATAAATACATCCCTCCATTGTCATAAACAAACAGTATTAGCAACAAAATAAGGAGTTTACCTTGTAGATGATGGACTTGGCATTAAGGAAAAACAGCTCAATAGTGGCATTGTCTTTCAGGTAGGATATACTCTCTATGTAGAACCTGAAAAAATAGAAGGAAAAGCTTCAATACATTTGAAACAACACAGGCAACAAGGACATAAGTTGATCTTAACCCTATTCAATGAGGTTTTATTATTACACAAAAATAATATCAAAGAACGAGTTAAAAACGTTAAGGTAGTGTCATAAGCAGATGTCACACAAATGATGCAATGACCAAAGTGGCCAGAGGGGGGCACACCATACCAAAGGCTGACCTTTTGTACCAACATCCTTTCACTTCCCCTTAAACCAATTCTCTCTCTCACCATGGTGGCTGGCAATGATCCATTATTAGTTTGTGAGTGTGAGCACATTCCACAATCTGAACGCACACACACAAGGATTGAATGTGCACATGATGCACTACACACATTGTCTGCCTATCTGCATCATCAGCAGTGTGTAGTGATTCCACATGCACAGTAGTTATACACACACACTCTGTCACATACTGGAGAGAGAAGCACAGTAACCCACTTCTGGCAGAGTGGTGAGGAGGGAACTAACATAATAATGCAGTCTAAATTTAGCTCATGAATGCATCCACAGCCAGAGGGGAGCTACAGTGGCATGCTAGGAGGCTACTCATTGTTAGCTATTCTCTGGTAAAATACAACATATCAAACACCTTCAGTGTATGACTTGATATATCCTGTAGTGTGTATAATGTGACCTAAGCACATGTCCTTATGAACACACGCGAATGATTGTGTCCATTCGCGTGCTTATGAGCGTAGAGGTATTGAGTGAGAGGGATTGTAGGAGGATCAATATTGGAGGGCTTAAATCACGTTACCCATTGAGCTGCGAGAGAGAATGAGAGGAGCTTTGTCAATATTCAGTGTGAACATTTAATTAAAGCCACCGCGTTGATGAGACATACACACACTGCCAGCACAGCGGCAAGCATGCAAAAAGGCACCCACTGAATCAGCAGGAGGTGGGCAACTTGCTAGCATTTGTTGGGAACACACGAATCACGCAAATACCACATAAGCATGCAAATACATGATGTGCGTGCAGCTGCAGACACAGAATCACCCATACATGAAAAAAACCTTATATTGTGCTAATGAAAACAATATGCTCACATTGCTAATGGATTCAGGTCTGACATTTGGGTTGATAGCTGTTCTATTATAATCCTGAATCTGCGTACGTGTGTGAACGTGTGTCTAAGAAATAGGGTTGGATGTGTGTGTGTGTTTGAGACGGAGGTGTAGTCAGTGTGACATTTGGAGAGATTGAGGTTAGAGATTTGACTCAACTGCAGGAGAGAAGCGGGGGGGGGCTGAAGCTTAAAAGTTCACAGTGTCACAGCACCACCACCTTATCCTCAAACACCAATTAGTCTATGTAAATACACACACAGTGACCCTCACCCTAAGCACCACTACGACACACACACACACACACACAGTTGTTTTATATGGCTCTATAGCTGACCTAAGATGAAGACAGATGGTAAGCCTAAACATCACTGCAACCTCAACGTACAGTATGTCATTTCTGCCGATAGGGGGTCTGTCACATCAAAACAAAAACAAAAGATGTGGTTTGATTATGTTGTGAAGTAGTGTGGGATGATGGGAGTTGTTGTCTTCATTGTTAAAAATATATGACAGCCTGAACGAAACATGAAAATCTATCTGACAGGACAGAAATTGTCCACGGACATGGTAATGTTTTGTTCACGTGACGTTTAGTCATGTTCACCAACTTCCTTTCTCAGTCTCAGACATATCCGATGTATCCCGTGTTTACACAGAAATTATAGAAACTAAAGGCAGTTAGGCAAGGCACCGTTACCGGATTTCTCTGTGTTTGAACGTTGTTAGAAACATTTGGGATAATGTCAACAAAATGTATAACAGGTCCAGCAGTTATAGACCTTCTAATGCGGAAATGTTACATTTCATCTTTAACTGAAATTACTGCAGTAATAGCAACCAAATGTACTTATCTGTACATCTTTTGATAGTATCACTGTCACATTGTACAATGACACCATTGTTCACTTAATAGAATGAACAATGAGTCTAGGAGGTCTAGAGTATGATTTTACCATACAGTCACCTCATTATGTCATGACTTGAACAGTGTTGTAAATGTCAACCTGGAAATGACTACTCAGTGACATTGTTCTGTAGTTAATGTGCGTCACGTTACTATGTACGTTGCTAACGAAGGCTCAGTCCCTGGGGTGTATCTGACATCACATCAGAGATGTGTTGGGGACCCAAAACAAAGCCTTGGCTTTCCCTTTCACGCTCTAACTCAGAGCGCATGTGTGTGTGTGTGTGTGTGTGTGTGTGTGTGTGTGAATGTTTTGGAGCAGAGTGGGATGGGAGGGCTGCATTTTCATTGGAGGCTAAGAAAGATCAGAAAATCTCTCCTCAGGTCAGGTGCCTTTTTCTTTCTTTTTCAATAGCCTATTGAAGAACACCCACAGACACACAAAAACACACACATAAACAGGCACAATTTGTATCTGTGTCACATATACACACGCGATCCAATGCCTGTGTGTGAGTCAGGAGTTTTTTATGTATGTGTGAGGCCATTGTATGAGTAGGACAAAGGGCTGAGAGAGGAATATGGGATAACCCTGTCATAACAAGTCATAGAAGAGTTGGCTTTTAACTGAGGAGATTACTGAAATACAGCAACAGCAAGGGCACATGCCTCATCATAGGTAGCCTCACACACACTTTTAGCATTACACTGACAAGCGAACAGAGTTGGCAACATTTTTTGTCAAACTGCATCTACATGAAAATGTGTAGTACTAATGTAGAGCAGAAATGGTAAGGCTGCTGTCCCTATGGGAAAGCATTCTGACGTCTTGTTTGGACTACAGCAATCTGTAGTCGCCGCAAAGCTATTTGATGGGATTTGCATTCAGCGCATACTGATGAGGTCTAAGAGGCTCATGATTGGCTGAGAGGCCCCGTGGTGGGAGTTAAACACCTGGGTCAATGCCATTTCCGAGGGGCCTGTCATAACTAACCTTGTTAATCTGTTCCTATTACCACATGAAGGCATGCACAAACACATATGCAGTCGCACTCTCTGCACCTTTCTTTCTCTCTCCCACACACATTCAAACACCATCTCCAATGTATGTGTTAGTTAGGCAATTAAGTTAAAGAAGAAGGACTCACCTGACACAGAAATAGAGGACAATGGGACCAGACTTCTTGGGGAACTCGTGTTCTAATACCCTGCGGTCCAACTGCAGCCAACTAAAATGGCCCCTGATGAGACAAAACAATCAATCAATGCTATTATTCATATTAATCATATTATGCATATCCAGCAATGATACAAAAAAAATTCCTCTCATGACACTGAACATTTGTTTCGCCCCACTTCTCTCCCCCCTGTCCTCTCTTTTTTTCTCTCTCTCTCCAACAGAGAGAAAAACTGCAGAGACAGCTTGTCACCCTGGTAACCCTGCATGGTCTCCTGAGCAACTGAGCAACATCTCTCTCAAACTCTCCCTCCTTCTGTCTCTGTCTCTCCTCTTTGACCACTGATAGGTCACAGCTGAGGCGTCTGCTTTCCCCAGACACAGGCAACAAATCTACACATCATAGAATTAGCCCTGGGGGACTGAAACTGCAAATCTGATATTGCTTTGCTGGACTGACATTGGCTACAGTATGTGTCACAGTGCCATAAATGCCATTGAGCAGAGGCTAGCCATGCTCGACATCACAGAGGGCCTGAGATAAAACAAAAAAGAGAGAAAACAAAGGCCATGGCAATGTTTGCCTGTATGTAAATCATTTGTATTTGTATTTGTATTTGTTTGCATGACTAGTTCTGAACAATGCAGTGGTGCTTCTGTCTTTCTAGGTCACCAAACACAATAACACTAATTTGAATGTCATTTTTGCATTTCAAGGACAATTCTTGTTGCAAGCCTTCAGGTAGACATAGACCTATGATCTTTAGCTAGCCCAGAGCAAGACAATCATACCCCCATAATAACATCAAAACCCTTTATAACCAGGGTTTTTATCATGCATCAGTTTCAGTTCAGTGTGATATTCATGATTGTTATTTTAATTAGAATGAAGACGATCATGGCTGAAAGTAATACGTAATAGAGAATTGAAAACCTTAAACTGGATATCCAGATTTTTTTTAAGCTATTTTTTTGGCCTTTTATTGCCTTTATTGGATAGTGACAGGCAAAGATAGACAGGAAAGGGCGGCGGCAGAGGGAGAGAGGGGATGACACGAGCAAAGGGCCGCAGGTCGGATTCGACACATGGGTCGCCAGCTCTACCGACTGAGCTAAGCGGGCGCCCGATATCTAGATATTTTTTTACTTTAAATGTGAACTATTTCATACCAATAAGTAAATAAACATAGACAATACAAAAACATACATATATAATATATGTAGAATAAACATATATGTATATATATATATATATATATATATATACATATATAAAGGTACACTGAAAATGCATAAAGAGAAAAACAGGCCAAAACTACAGCCACATTTTACTTTCACATTTTCTAAACCATAGTTGAAACTCAAACAATGTACTAACAACTGGAGTTTTCATAGTGGTGCTTTTGTACATGGTACTACAGTAACTTGCTATGGTATCAACATTTGAACGTGACTTACGTTTCATCTGTGTATGCGATTCCAAAGTACTCCTTCTCCTTGAGGTTGAAGTGAGAGGCCACGAGGTCCAGCAAGTCCTTGGCCATCAGCTTGGGCTGCAGGTAAACAGAGGTATTAGTATTGCTCCCTGTGTGTTTTTATTAATCAGTTATAAGTTGACTTGCATGTGAGTGCAGTTTTGAATCGCACTGTATGTAGTATAATTGGAAGTACATGTGGTTGAGCTTCATGTTAATGTATTCTATCAGCTATTGATTTGCTGCAATGACTAAGCATTCTGACAAACACCGGGGAAAAGAGGAAAAGAGTAAGAGAGGAGGAGATAAATGAGAGATAGAGCACGAGAAAGATGGATGGAGTGTGGGGATGTTGCTGACAGTGCAGGTATCCTGCCCTCCCCCTCCCTCCCTCTCTCCTTTCCGCCTCTCTGACCCACACCTCTACTGCAGAGTCATGGCTCTGGGCTCAACCACAGTATTGCAGGGAAAAGGCCGCAGCTAGCACAAGAGCTCGCTAGCTAGTTGATACTGTGGAATATTGCTATATCCGAGCTATATATGATGACAACTTCCATTCATCACAATGCTCAGATCTTTGCACAGCATCTTAAAGCCAAGCACAGGCCGGGGACTGCTGCCATATGCAGCTGGTTTGTGACATCCTGAGTAACAGCACGCCCCACCCTGAGGTTAACCATGGGTGTGCCTTGCTGCCTATGTTTTCATTACACATACACACACACAACTACATGTGCCATAGTGTGCACATTGCTAAGAATCTCCCCCTGAGGTCCTGTACTATCTACTCACTGCACAACTACAGTGACAGAAGCTACTGAGAACTATTTAAAGAGAAGGAGGTGATGTTATGCACACAGAAAGTGCACACGCACACACGCGCACACACACACACACGCACACACAACTCCAATGACCTAGATCTCATATAAGCGCGACGCCTACAGTGATCCTGCAACACAGAAAGGCTCAGGAGAGAATACAAGCGATACAGAGAGCTTGAGGAGTATACATAGATTCTGCCATATATTCCCATATATCAGATGTATGTACTGCATGATAATAGTGTTAAACAGAAAACAACAATAACAACATGGCTACTGTACGTAACCCTAATAAACCATACAGTAATGGCCATTTATCTAGGATTCCCATATTGTTATGTTAAGATATCTTGAGGTTATCATTAAAGGAAAACTTCAAATGCATATACAGTGAGAATGATAAATTCACATCTCGTAAAAGAATAAGATCATGAGTTATACTATGGTACATGTAGTTTAATGTCTCAAGCAGTGATTGAAGCGCTAACCTTAACTATGTCTTGATCTGTTTGACTGTTAACTGGTAGTCCCATCCACAAATGCTCTGATTGCTACTCCAAATGAGAAGCAGACATTCCCAAGAGCAACAATATATCTCTTTGAGGTGCTCAAGACATTTTAGATGTGTAAATTTTAGGTCTGGAAGCAGGCTATCTTTACAGTATTAGAAGTAATACATGTTTTGGTTCAGTCTGAGACACATACTGGTGGTCTCTCATTACGTCACAAGAGTAAACTGCCTTGGCGACAATATCAATTAAACTACATCCACGCCACCACAGCATAACAAACAATGAGCCGGGGCGGGGACGGGGACATGTGAACACGTATAATGGTAAACTGCTGACAAAATGAACTCCAGATACACAGCTGAACATCGGAAATGCATGACTGAAGATCAAACAGAACAGAAGGACCCTGTAAGGTTAGGCTGAGCGTCTTGCCTCAACACTGTTATGCATACCAAGCAGACTGTAAAAATCACATGGGCTGAACTGGATATCATAATTGAGTTTGGTTGTCTCTTCTCTCACCCCTTCCACAGACATACACACATCCTGGCACTAAAGCTTATCTGTGAGATGGCAGAGACCTAACGGATATGTAAATATTAACGGTGGGTGAGATAGCAATAGAGTCTGTGAATGACAGGTAATACACACACACGTACTCCAGATATGCAGACAAAGCCGACACATACACACACATTCACAAACACAGCATGGAGCCATCTATCAGAGGGTAAAGCTCTCTGCTAGCTTAGACAGCATTACTGCTAATAGACATTTAGCTTGTGCCTCCTCAGCAGCACGGGTAATTAACAGCATAAGAATTACATGGTGGTTGGAAGTGAGGAGGAGACATGCTAACGCAAACTTCCAGACAAAGTGACAAACACAACAGTAGCTCACTTGGCTGGTTGGCTCGCTGGCAGCAATTCACCGTCCAATCTCTGCAAACAGCTAGTCAGGCCCTTGGCGCCATACTGATTTATAAGTGTCAGTCCAAGGGTGGGTAGGAAAAAGGTTTTTAGCCACATGCCCTTCATATTTTAACAAATAATTTGTACACAGACTGTGGCATCTTACCATCTTACAATAACCCATAAATAGTGTCTATTTATCAATGTAGTTCTTCACATAAACATCAGCATGGAAGAGCAACATTGTTACACAACTTTAAGGTCCAGTGTGTAACATTTAGGAGGAATCTATGGGCAGAAATGTAATAATATTCATATGTATGTTTCCATTAGTGTATAATCACCTGTATATAGAAGTCGTTGTGTTTTCGTTACCTTAGCATAAGCCTTGTTTATCTACAGACGCAGTGGGTCGCCATGTTTCTACAGTAGCCCAGAACGGACAAACCAAACGGTGGCAGATAGCAGCTTTTCACGTTTGTTCATTACACACTCATTCCCATGTTGTCAAATAGATGCAAGCTGTGTTACTTGCAATCTGCAACTTCACAGCTAGATGCAACTAAATCCTACAAACTGGTCCTTTAATACGCTGTTTCACTCTTTAACTTACACCACACTATCCTTAGGGAGTGACAGCCAGATGATTTACATAGATTTTCACCCAGTGGTGTATTTGGTGGTTAGCTTCAATCTTTATGGCCTGGTCAATAGGTGCGTTGGCCTTCTGGCAAATAGTTTCCTGCGAATGAGGCGTTGCTCCATAAACAAACCATGGAGAGCACACTGTCAGAGGTAGGAGGAAGGGGATGAGGAAGAGGAAAAAGTCGAAACTACACTTCTGGGATTAAACAGCTGGTCAATGTTACAAGTCAGTGACAGAAACGAGATCCAACCTTCCAGAGTCTAGCTGGCTGGTACTAAATGAAAACCTCTGGAGGACAGCCTCGACCATACTGCTGTTAAATGTTCAGTGAAGACATGAAATAGCCCAATGGAGTGTGTAATACTGGAGTCCTACATTAATATTTGAAAAAAAGGGTGATGATCATCCCTTCAAGAAATATTTTTTTTTGCAAATGAATGGAGGGTCTGACTTGAGAGATTGAAGCAAGGACAGAGGGCAAGAGATAAAGAATAAAGACAACAGTATCCTGATTTATATGACAATAAAAAAAACTTTTTGCCATGCCTTCTGTCTTGCTAATACCATTGACAAACAGTAAGAATACCAGCTGCTACATTGTGTATCTTATATCGTAAACAGAACACATTTTCTTACTAACAACTTATCTTCAAGTACCTGTAAAACTATTTACATAACATAGACTACTGTGTTTTGATTCAACTCTTCAACTCTTTTTTGGTTTGATTCCTTTCTTGATGGCCAAGAGGATGAAGAATGAGCAGAAGAGAGGATGGATGGATGAGATACGGAGCCGCTGCAGTTGTATTCGGAGATTTTGCCGGAGAAAGAACCGGGATAAGGAGCTGAGTGAGAAAAGAAGATATGAAGAGTGAAGAGTGGAAAGTCAGGGGGATGAAGAGGGAGTGGAAGAGAAGCAGAAAGAAGTACCAATTTGAAAGAGAGGATCAGTTCTGGCAGAGTAATCAAATCAGAAAGTCAGCAGACCTATCCTTGGCTCTACCCTCCATTTTCTCCTCTCTATTCCCATCTCTTTACTGTCATCCCCGTCTCTCCATTCCTGAGCTCCCATCTCACTTTTCTCTCACGCTCTGCCTTCCGAGTTCCTGCGTCAATCTTTTTAGTCTCTGCTTGCTCTTCTTTTTCTGTTCTCGGGCAATTACTTTCTTTTGTGTATTGCTCTTTTTCCAGTGGAATCAGGTAATGGTCAGGCCCAAAGGGAGCTATGGGAGGTAAGGAAGAGTGGAAGGAGCTTGTAATGAAAATGCTTTAGACTTTGAAGCCAAACCATGACAGGGGTCTTACAGACCAAAGTGAATGTCATCAACAATCAATGAAGATCAATGAAGAAAAAGAGGAAGTGAAAGGGAGAAGTTACTGTGCAGAGAGGGTCACACAATTTACTACCAACTAAAAATGTGTGTCAACCTGTGTGATATTACAAAACCTCCATAACCAGGTTTAACCCCGGGTATAGAACGAAAAAACAGAGCAGAGCAGATCTTCACTGTAATAGCTGTCTGAAAAGTGTAGGGGCTTCAAATGGCAACGGAGGGAGAGGTGGGAGTCTTGTGGGTGCTGCTGCTGCCGCCTTTGGCTATTACTGCAGAAAGGCCTGCTGGGAGGGCTTAAGGCTGAAAGTAGGGGGAGGGGGGCATCATGCTGCTTTCTGGGAAGACGTTGAGAGGATAAGATGGAGCACTGTCAATTACACGAATAGGTTTAGAGAATAATAAGGAGCAGTGTCAGTTGCGGTGATAGATGTTTTCTTGTTAGATGATTCTGGCATTGCTGGGGCATTCTGGGAGGGCAGTAGAGATGGGTGAGAATGAGCAGTGAAGTATGAGTTTCTGTTTCATTAGGACTGAACTCTGTATTGGGATGCATAACTTCCACAGGGAGAGTCCACTGTGTGCATGCTCGTGTGCGTGTTTTAGTGTGTGTGTGTGTGTGTGTGTGTGTGTGTGGAGAGATCAGGTGAGCATCAAGAAAGCGCAAAGTCACCTACTGCTGACCAAATTTCCCTTGGTCAGCAGGAACTGAGTCCCTCGGTACATCACTTCTCCCTTGCTCTAAGGAAATGAGAGTCTGCAAAGAGGGAGGGAAGGAAGAGAAGAGGGAGCGAGAGGTCAGGGGGAAGAGAGACTCACCTGTACAAGGAGCTCCAGCTTCCTGTCGTCCAGGAGATGGACCTGACATCGCCTCCCCTCTGTCATCTGAGAAAAAGAAACAAAAAGACAAGGGAGGCTTGTTAATAGGCTTGTTTAGAAATCGATTACACACACGGATCGAAAGCAGACCTTTGTACGTGTCTCCACATACGAAGAACATCACTTACATTTCCAAATAACAAACAAGAACATGATGCATCCCCTTATCAGTCAGTATGGGATACATGAGCTTTATGGCAAGCTTGTGGCTGTATGTGCGTTATCCCAGTGAAGTCTTAACAAGGTCAGCTGAGCAACGGGCCAATAGAGACGACGTCCTGTGCTGCTCTCTTCCTCATTCCTAGAATTCCTCATTGAGCAGGAAATCAAATATCCATCAGTGGACTACAGTGACGACAATGAGTAAAGCTGCCTGCTGACAATGTTCACTCGATTGTTTGCCTGTGTTGTTGCTACAGGGCTTGCTGAATAGTGCTTAAAAAAACGGATAATATCCGCCTGCCAAGTTCAGGCGTAAACACTGAAGCAGGTGCAATGATGAAACAGTCAACTGTGGGGAAATACGCGCCACAAATAAGACCAAATATTTCACATGACAAAGCCAGGCCATGTCTTTCTGATAAAATCCCAGTGAACACAAGACTAAAGTTTAAAAACTGACTGCAGACATAATCAGCCTGTCGGTGTACGTTTGTGTGTATGTATGTGCCGGTGTTTTCAGCACATGTGGAGTTTCTTTTTTAATTTAACAGGAAGCGGGGACCCTGAGGAACACAAACACCCCCTGGCTCCTCCCACACTTCCCTCACATCTGGGAGATGGGGAGGGAGACCGGAGGGGGGGAGGGGTGGTGGTGGTGGTGGTGTGTGTGGGTTTGCGGAGGGGTAAGAAATGTTGGGAAAAGAAGGAGAAGGGAGAAAGCGGGAGAGACATCGTCACTGTCCAACATTTGATGAGGAAGCCCTCCAAAACATAGATGCTGTAAACACAAGCACAAGCGTAACCGGTTTGAAACTCTTCACCGCGGGGATCATATTGGCCACCTGAGGCTCTTGCAATTCGGTATGGGTGTGTTCAAAACGCGAGTATAACATGCACCTACTTTCTCACCACTCGTGCCAGCTCGCATTGAGGTGGCAGGTTCGAGGTGAGAGTTTCGCAGAGAGCTGAAGATCCCGGACAAAGAGAGGTGGAGGGGAGTGACGGAGTTGTGTCTCAGCGCTCAACCCTATGTGAACACTGCTTAATGACTACTGGTGTGTGTGTGTGTGTGTGTGTGGCTTCTAGCTACTTTGAAGGGTTCGGTTTACCCTCCCACTCACCATTGATCTCTTGTGGTTTGAGGGTTTAGATTGGGTGCACCTGTGCACACAGCGACAGACAGACATACGCACACTAACACACACACACATTTTCCAACATTGGCTTTTGTTTTCATCTCCCACTCTAAAGTCTTGGAGTTACATTACCTTTCCAAAACTTTCCACGTTTCATACTGTAGGTATATAGTGACTGTAATTACTAGCATGACTACTGAGTAGTGCAAACATGATTCACTGTTATCAAATATAGGTAATATAACAACCGTGAGATGTCAAGCGTTTCAAAAGTTGGAACTTTTCAGACTGTAAACAAATATCTAACTTCTGAAAACATGTTGCGGGCTAAAACAAGCTTCTTCCTCCATTCCTGAGCCTGGACATGTGATAGAGGAAAGGACAAGACTACAGTGTACCGACCAAACATCTTACTTTAGTATCTTGTCTGCAATACTTTAAACTGCAATGCAGACAGTGTGCACTCTCTCTCTCACACACACACACACACACTCTCTCTCACTGCCAGTCTGCTTGAGGGCACCTGGGAACAGTATAAACCTTAACGTCAAGGTAACAAATCACTGCCTGCAGGGTAAAATAAGGCAGCCCAATCTGGCAGAGACAGACGCTTATTGGTTTTAGTCATAAAATTCACTTTGTGGTATTGGACACATGCGACTGAGTTACTATCCACCATGAAACCAGATGTAATAAAGTTTCTATGAATAGCTTCTTGTCATTAAACATGGCTGAAAAAAACAAACAGAGGATGTAGAATATTTTCAACTTAATGTAAATTTGCTGCACCGTGAGGCATTTCAGGCTTTATAACATTACTGAATATGTTTGCAGCATCTTGACACTGACTTCTGGTGTATGTTGTAAACAATAAATTACAATGTAGTTCCAGTGAGAGGATAACAACACAAGGGGGTACCAGCTACATCACCTTACCCTGGTGTGTGATCCATGTTGTGTGTAAATCCACCAACATTTCTGACCCATTACTTGTCAGGTTTGAATTGGCTAACGTTACATCCTCAGGCCCTGACTCACTGGCACTTAAAAAAAAAAAAGATTAAAAGGCAAAGGGATGAAAATGAACAATGTATAAAGCAGCCATGTTCACAACGTGTCATTATTTCGCTGGAGCTGGCACCACAATTAAAGAGGAGCACACACAAACAGTTGACAGTGATGCTCGGTCAGTGCTGGCGACGGCTGTAACGCTATCATTAGTTAGTTACCTTGCAAACAAACGCTCACTGCGATGCTCCCACACAAAAAAACCCGGCTCCAAGAAGGGTGAAAAAAAAAAGGGAAAAAAAGAAATGATTAATCCCAGAAAGAAACGAGTCGTGTTACTGCCAGAAAATCGTCAAAAAAAAAGCCTTTTCCCGGCCGGCCTAGGGGAGGAGGAACATCAGCATCCATGTTAGTGACCATTACTTAACGTTAATTGCAAGCGACGCAGCTCTCTGTGAATTCCCAGTATCCTCTAAACGCCTCAGAGACGTTACATCTCCGCCATTCTAGCCTAGAGATAACTCGGTGCTAATTAACGGCGACCGTTTTCCAAAAAGGCTCGCTTTCACCTCCCTCCTTTCTGAAAGCAGAGAGCTTCTCACGGGGCTAGTCCCGGTCGAACCAACCTCCTCCTCCTCCTCCTCTCCCCCTCCGCCTCCCCACCTCCCACCCCACACACCCCCCTTTTTCGCTACCGGCACCGTGCACAAAACGGCGAGGGAGCGTGTGGATAGCAGGAGACCGTACCAATGGTCAGCAACCGAGGGGGACGACCGGGAGAAAGCGGCTGAAAAACGGTCGAACTGCCTCCACTTTTGCCAGCTATGTTTCTCGCTGTCACCGGAGTTGCTTCGAAAACACGGGAATAATGGAGGCAAGATGTGGGGGCGGGGAGAGGAGGAGATGAGGGGAAATTTTCTGCAGCGGCTCACAGCCATGAGAAACTGCAGACCTCTCTTTCTCTCTCCCTCTCTCGGCGTCTGTGCGTGCGTGCGTGTGTGTGTGCGCTGCTTACAAACCCAAACAGACATCTGTGTCTGCAGAGCACACCGACAGTCTGCCTTTAAAACAAGTGTTGCACAATGAGCAGTGATCACAGTCTACATACTTTATTAAATCACCTGCGGGGTACCTTAGGAGAAATTGCATTGCATTCTGGCTTCCCCGCTTAAAACGCCTCATATGACTTATTGCTTAGGATGAAACAGTATTTTGATACATTTCCACAGGTCTGAAATGGTTACATGGTTCATGAAAAGAGCAGGAGTTTCAGTTAAATCTCTACATCCCTGGATTGGCTCTCTCCAGGCTTGTCACTTCCTGTCTGCACTTTTAAAACACAGATCTCCTTGCTCTCAGGCTTGGCTTGCTTGAATGATTTCTGGCCTTCAGTCCTTTGCCGTTGGACTGACTCAAATTTTTTTTTTTTTTTTGCATGACCTAAATTGGGTACTTGTGTTCACCTTACACAGCTGGAGCAGCAGCCGTTGAAACCACAAAGTTGTTAACATAACAAGAACAGTCCAGTTTTTGGTACCATAAATAGATACTAATGTGTGCTGGAGAAGGCAGGGCTAAGGCTATACCTACTGTCAATAAAGTATTTTGAATGACTCGGCAAGTGTAGGCTAGTCTGTTTTCTATTATTGTATTACAACATGAGTAATCCCTGTGTTATGAAAACAGTGTGAAGCCACATGTAGCACATGTACAATAGGGTATGTAGTATACCTTCTGCTAAGTTGTCAGGGTGATACATGAGCCATTTTTTGTCTAATGATCATCTTTCATTTCAGATCTGTGTGTCACACAGTTTGTCTGAGCCAAATACAATTGCACCATATCTTACATTCGCGGGATTCATCAGAAACGCTCTTTTCCCAGACATTAAGCAATACGAAGATGCAATTAAATTTAATGTGCTTGGCTCCGAGAGGTTTTCGTTGCTGTCGTAGCTCATGCTGCAAGCCCAAAATTCAGCTTAGTTTGCTGAATGTAGAAGGTCACATGAGAAATGCAGAGGTGTATCCTTTCCCCTCCTGCTAGATTTTTCTTTTTCTGGATATTTTTGGCCCGTTCCAGACACCGGAAACTGGCCTGTCCAACTTAAACATCTCCAGATGACTCTTTCTTTGGCTTTAAAACATACACCCGTCCCTTCTTCGCTTTCTCCGGGCAAATACATATCTCCCTTTATTGGTCACTTCCTCAGTTTGCTATCACAAGGGCCCTGTTGTTTGACCAGTGTGCAGCAGGGAGAGAAGGGGACAATGCAGGCAGTGGAGGAATGAGGTAAAACTGACAAAGACAGAAGAGGAAGAGCAAAAAAATAAATAAAAAATGCAGTAGGAAGATCCTGAACACTTTACTACATGAGTTTATGAATGATTGTTCCTGTTAGGAATGGATGTGAGTAGCTGCAGAGGAGCCAAATTAGAAGGGGGGAGGAAAGGAAGGAAGAAAGGAAGCAAGGCAGGAAGGAACAATAACAAACAGCTGTGATTTAGTGAGCCTTTCTGCCCAATGCTCATCCCCCTTTAAACATCCCCATACATGATCACCTTTCAATGACCTATAGAGTGTGTTGCCAAAAAGCCCAAGGTGAGAAACACATGTAGGTGTGACATATTTGGGCCCTGGCAGAGCCTTGTTATGGAGGCAGTGGGCTTCTATTCTGGGCCGAGGTGTGGTTGTAATGAG